TATGGGACGTCTTTGTGGAGGAATGCAAGGTTAATGAGTCATATGTATTCTAGATTACAGGTGGTGGCTAAAATGGCCCCTCAGTCATCCTATTGGGTAACTTTAATGCCTGAGTGGGTACAGCACAGGCATCTGGGCTACAGAAATTGGAAGGCATGAAAACATTTGAAGGCCGGAATAATATTGGTAGAAAGTTGCTAAGTTTATGTTAGGCCCATGGGCTTGTAATCACCAACATGCAGTTCTGGCATCAGCAGCACATCCACACAACACCATGGATGCATGCCAGGTCCAAGCAAGAACATCTGGTGGACTATAAAGTAACAGAAAAGCAAATGTGGGCCCATGTCTGCCACAGCACAGCTGCGTTTTGTGTTCAGTTAGTTGTCCTTCCCCCGCTCCTCCGATTATAACGGTGGGCTACGTACGGTGCGAAATAAATTCAACATACATACAGCGGAGGTGTATAAAATTTCAACAGGACCGAAGACTCTGCTTTATTGACTTGATCAAGGTCTATGATACCATCGATAGGCCAGGGCTTTGGGTTGTTCTTCACACTGTTGGGGTCCCCGGCGTTCTGCTCCTGTTCACATTGGGGTGCAACAGAAATTGCCTCCGACTCCTGCAACTATTTAACGTCGTCTTTGACCATGTAGTTCGATGACGCTTTTTACATAGCTATACCGGAGGAATTTCCATCTGGTACAGGTACAATGCGAAGTTGATCGATGCCCGGGTGCGGTTAAGGGACGGGTTCCCTATTGTTCAACCACGTTATGTGTGCTGATGATCTGCTAATTGCTGCTCACACTTAGGAGTTGCATACTTTACTGCTGAACCCAGAGGGTGCTCACTGTGTGTACGTGTGCTTTTGCTGACTGTGTGTGTGTGCGGTTGGTGACCAGGGGTAAAACATTTTTTGTGGATGTCTCATATTAAAATCTAAAAATGTAGGGGGAGTCAGGAAACCCATGACACCCACATTGAATCCACAAGGAATGTGGGTTTCCAAAATCCCCACAACAGCTGCCCACTTGCACTGGCACCACAGTAATGAGATGTTAACTACCTCGCCAGATATACATGAGGTTTGCGTGTCTCTTTCCCCGGTGGCTGCGTGGATTTTTCTCCAGTTTTTCCCTCAACATTTAGAAACACGTGTTTAGACTATTTGACTTTAATACATTTACACATGATAAGCCACTTCGTTGAGCTATCATTTGTGGCCAGGTTGCTTCTGAAAAATTGGTATATAGCTCAGTGGGCTTTACCTGGTAAAATAAAAAATAAAATTAAATATTTCTCATGCAAGACGACAACACAAGCCCACAGCTGCCATGGGCAGCCAGTGACAAGTCACGAGTGTTTGAACAGGTACACGACACTTGAACAAATGTCACGAAGATGATACCCTACGTTGTATTGTCCTTGCAAAGTCCTCAGATTCTCTGTAATTTCACAGTCCACAGTTGTTGACCTGCAGACAACTACTACAACTACCACCCAGTAGTTGTACCAATGTTCGGCCAACAGAATGCGGTTTGAACCGTTGGATCAACTTGGCCCAACATTGGCCCAACTTTCCACGTTTGTTGAGCAATGCTCTACTCTATCTATTTATAGATTTGAAGCTTTCGTGACTGCAAGGATTCATACTCTTAGGTTTTTTCGGTAAAGTCACGTAGGTAAAAGAATAATAATAAAATAAAATAATAATAAATGAAAAATAACTAAATTAAATCACGACGTTTCGGAGGCAACACAAGTCTCCGTCTTCAGGTGGGATCGTCACAGCTAAATTTACTGTATGGATCTTAAATACCAGTATTTATACCAGTATTTAAGATCTTGTCTCTTGGATTTCTCTTCACTCTCTACTCTATCCTCAATATAAATAGGTTGGCTGAGAGTTCGGAAAGCAATCAGCCTCAAAAAACATGTTGCTTCAGCAATAATCATCGGCGATGATCTATCCACTGCTGCGTGAACACTTTCCCAAGCCACCGCCGCTTCTCACGATCCTGCGATGGCAAAAATCCATTCTAGATTTGAAGCTTTCGTGACTGCAAGGATTCATATTCTTAGGTTTTTTTGGTAAAGTCACGTAGGTAAAAAATTAAAATTAATAAAAGTAAAATAAAAATAAAATAAAAATCACGACGTTTCGGAGGCAACACAACCCTCCGTCTTCAGGTGGAACCGTCACAGCACGATAGCTGTATCAAGTAAGTCCTTGTATATATACTGGTATATATTTTTTAATTTTATATTTATTTTACTTTTATTAATTTTTATTTTAATATTTAACCTACGTGACTTTACCGGCAAAAATCCATCCAGCACGTGCACACAAACTGATCTCATCACTCCGTCCTCGCTGGACATCTTCTGAGGCGCGTTCCATTCCTTTGGTTGCCACACAGTTATTATTATTATTGACCATGGTCTATCATTGCTTCTAGCGACGTGTCTTTCCCAAGCCAACTTACTTTCCTGCGTGTACGTACGTACGTATGTCGAGCTTCTTAAATTGGAGGTGTAGGGGAAGGACAATAAACTAGACAGAAAAAGCAATTGTAAAAAAAACGAGTTTTCAATTTAGATTTAAAAATGCACAGTTCCAGCGTTTTCCTAATATTTTTGGACGATGTAATTAACTTAATAGTTTGGATGATGTCATGAACTTGAAAGTGTTCTCTGATCCATGTGTTCCTCTTCACGCACGGTAATCAACGTGATACGGCAGGAGGTAATGGCACTTAGCTAATTACGAAAACTGTGGCAAAAAATGTACCTGTTAATTTTAAATGTGGCAGCCAAACAACCACAAACATTTTAAAACTAACGATATGAGCGGGTCAAAGGGTTCGCGTTTGAATACAACATCATTCTCTAAAAGAGAAAAGGGACGACTTCACACTCCATTTTATTGAGGTTCACGCGTTCATGTCCAGTGAGTCACCAAGGACTTGGGACGTGTGTCAATCGTGTGAACTGAACTTGCATTGCAAGCGTCCGGGTGCTGAGGAAAGTCAGAGATGCTACGGCGGCACAGACAAGAGGTGGGAACTTTATTGCAAGTAGGCAAGATACGTGCACTAAACTTATATTGAGGATATAGCACTCAGGATCACAGTCAGGTCAGGAGGACTTTAGCTCTGACGCATGCATTCATTTGTTCATTTACTCATTCGCTCACTCATCCGCCCATTAATTCACATCAGCTTATGACTCAATGGGAAAATGTCAGAGATGCTACGGCGGCACAGACAAGAGGTGGGAACTTTATTGCAGTAGGCAAGATACGTGCACTAAACTTATATTGAGGATATAGCACTCAGGATCACAGTCAGGTCAGGAGGACTTTAGCTCTGACGCATGCATTCATTTGTTCATTTACTCATTCGCTCACTCATCCGTCCATTAATTCAAATCAGCTTATGACTCAATGGGAAAATGTTCGGAATAGGATGAGGATCCAAATACAGGCTACACAAATAAGGACACACATGTGACTCCATTTCTCGGTTACGTAATCCGTGAATATTAAGGCACTTATTGTTTAAGAATAATTGGTCTGCTTCTTCTCTTTCGACATCACTGCTGCTTAGCTGTAACTACCTCGTTGGAACGGTATTCTGACTTGCCCTTAAGTGTATGGATTGTATAGATTGTCGTGAGCGAGGTCATGACAGCGAGTGATCAATGTAAATTTGGAATGTTATTCTTAAAGGGCTAGAAAGCTGCAATTTGACACAATTGCAGTTGAGTCAATGCCTAATAACCAAATTATCAAGAGATATATTTTTTCGATATTTGTTCAACTGTGCTCCTTCCCAGGGACCGGGATGTGGGGAATGTCTCGTGTGTTTTTTAAACAAAACAAAAAATAAGGTTTGAATCTGGAGTTTTGGAAGTGTGTCGAATTCATTTTCCTTGGAGTTTCTGAAAGAGTGTGATGGTAAAAATTATGCTTGATGAAAAAACATGAAAGTCCCAATACCGATTACTAATACCGTTCGGACATTTCTAATGTATAAACTTTAACTTTGCACAGTGTAGTAGAACTCTTATCCACAGTGACGTGGTTGGCGAATATTTTCGAATTCCATTATCCACGATGTTATCTGCTAAATGTACTCCACTTATCTACAAACAAAAATAGCAGACAACGAAAGTGCTAGGGGGTTTCGGATGATAGGGGCGTTTTAGTGGGCCCTATCGTTCTAACGGACAAAAGAATGTACACTAAATCGGTCATGGTTAAAAGGAGTTCTGCTGCATCGCAAACGAATTGTCTCGATTCTGGTCACCCCGTGGAAGAAAATGACTTGCGCTACTGTGGCGGTCAAACAAACAAAACAATGCCAGACGAAAATACTCTGCGGTCCCGTGTATTTCTTGCACCACGCTTCTGTTTGGTGTCCCAACAGACCGGTCAGGCCAGAGTGGCTTTTGCCAAAGGCAGTTTTGTACAAAGATAAGCAAACATTCCCACTGGAGTAACAAAATAAAAATCGTGTGACGATTTATGGATTCTTCACTCAATGTGTGTTTTTTTTAGCAGCAACATTATAGTCCAGTATCGTCTGTGGGTTCATGTTAATACCCACCCAGCGTGTGTTCCTTCAATCCATTTCTATCATAAACTGACGAAAGACTCCACATTTAAAAAAAACAGCCTTCAGCAGACCTCAACACAATAATAATGTATGTATGTTGAACTTTCGCACCGTACGTAGCCAACCGTGCTAATATGACTTAACCACGAACACTTCCAGTGGAAATACCCACAAAAACACTCACCTTCGGAGGCAAATATTATTCTCAGAATTTCCTTCTGCGTGAAGCCGACGGCGACGATGTGCATTATTCATCGATGGCGCGGTGTGATTGCAGCCGCGCGGCGTGCCGTTTCTCACGAGCGCTGTTACAGAGCACCCCTTCGTGTGCCCTGTGCCACGATGTGTACGTTTGCAACCGAGATTTAGGCTGACCTTGAGACATTGTAGTTGGGCAGCTTGTTGAGCAGCCACAGGAAATCGTTGGACTTGAAGGCCATAAGCACGAGGCCCACTCCGGTGGCGATGTCCTCCTTGAAGCTCTCCGGGTAGACGAAGCGATGCGTCGTGCGTTTCCCCACGTCGCGCTCGAAGCACTGCACCGGCGCGTTGTTCATTCTGGATGCGCGCGTACGCAGACGCACGCGCAGACGCACGCGCACGTCATGTGAGCATGTTAAACTCACGATCGCACACTCTAAAATGCGTCTGTCGTACATACGAGCGGATCATCTCATGGACCGCTCCCACCAATTTCAATGACTTGAGGAGTCATCATTTGAAAGATTATGGTATTTGACCTTTGACTCGATAATTTGCATCGATCATTTGGATTACGTGACCTGGTGCTGCTTATGGGCTCAGCCATTTACAATAGCCTGGAATGTGGCAGGGCCTCATTAAAAATGAAAGACATACAGAGGCCAGATGTGTACCAGGGCACTATGGGAGGGGTGATCAAATAAAGTGTAGCTATCGGACTAATTTCTTACCCTTGAATCTCAACAGGTTTCCAACGCATAGAGTAGAAAACCGGTAAACACAGGACACACATGTACAGCTGTATACCAATGTGTCATGATAGCAGATCCTAGGCAAAAGGACATTGCTGTAACTGAACGGTTAAACCCACTCACACGGTGCCGAGATGTTAAATACCTCGCCTGGTATGTAGGAGGTCGTGGGTTCGATCCCGACCCTCATGCCTGTATATTTACATGTTCTCCCCATGGTCAGGTGGATTTTCATCCAGGTCCTCTGGTTTTCCCTTCACATTTAGAATCAACATCACGCGTTTAGAGTATTTGGCGGCTATTAATTTCCACATGATCAAGCCACTATTGTTGAGTAACCATTTGTGATTGCCAGGTTGCTTCTGAAAAAAGAGTGATATAGCTCAGTGGGCCTTACCTGCTAAAATAAAACTAAATTGTTTATAGTTTAAACCAAACCCTTGCTTCACTAAAGCCTTGCGAGATACTTTGTTAATAGCCGTGTGTTTGCTGAAAGTGCTCCTGCAGCAGCTCCCTCCACTCTCTTGAGCGGCTGTGGTGACGAGTGACGGCTCTTCGTTGCCTTTCGTAGTGTTTTTATCACGTAATGGGCAAGACCTCGGGAGAAGCTCGTCTTCTTATATGCTAAGCCACTTCGTTGAGCTATCATTCGTGATGGCCAGGTCACTTGTAAAAAAAAGAGCTACATAGCTCACTGGGGAAACTTACCTGGTAAAATAAAAAATTGTTGTTGTTTTTTTCCAACAGTGTTTACTGGGAAACATTGAATGGAATCCAAATAGCTCACATGCGCAGCCCACATACGAGGAATGTTGCTGTCTCTACCACTTTGCTACTCTGTCCAAACGAAGCACAACCTTGCACGATAACATTGCGCAGGGAATCTATGCAGTACAAGTCCCCTTGTCCTGGTCTACGCGATTCTGAACGTGCGTTAAGCACCTGGCAAGTAACAATGTGCCGGTTCAGCATTCAAGTACATTCTTACAGTCAATGAACTACGGGGGTATCAGTCAGTACCACTGGGAGTGAGAACAGTCACGATATACAACATTTGCTTTAAAAAAAACTTGCCATGATTGGTGTTTGTTCTATAAACACACTTTGTTTGCATTTTCATAATCTGTAGATTTTTCTTATCAGTTTCCCCCCCCCCCAAAGCAATAGTCTGTCAAGCGTACCACAATAATACGCTGCATTTATATTTATTCTCGCTAACAGCTACCAAGATGGCCTTGCTAGCGAACACATTTGTGGTCTAGACGTAAAATGCTTCAATGAAAGTATCGTTAGCATTTGCCACCTCTGGACGGTACTGTTAAGACATTATAAACTTTGACAGCTCACGGGCGATGATGCTCCAAAGATGACATCATGTTTCGCCGGAGCATGGCGTGTCCTGTTCTTACGCAAGTGACTATGCGCAAAGCATAAACGATTTTCATTGGTATACCTTGTATAATAATTCGTGTTCTTCTTGGCAGCCATGAAGGCATTTTGAATGCGTCCAGGAGTCTGCCCGACCAGCGATTTCTTGGAAGGGACTTTATTCACAAAGACCCCTCCACCTGATATCCTGAATGGACATTCTGGGTCAAGTGGTGTCCGCAAGCACCCATGAAGGTCGGCACAGCACGTGATGAGGGGGGTGGGTGGCCAGCACCACGCCTAGCCGCCTTTGTCTCTCGTCAGAGGCGACGTTTACACCCCGGGGGTCCCTTTGCCCAGCCATTACAAAGCTTCCCAGACCTCTCCCCAACGTTTCTAACCGCAATTATCCCTCAAGCCAATCCCTTTCCCAACCCCCTCTCCACTCCAACGGGTCTCTAACCAACCCCCAACATTCCCTCGAATTGAGCAACTCTACACTCTCCCAATTAAACTTCCCTCGGGCAATGGGGGAGGAGGAGGAGGTGGTGGTGATGGTTGTGGTGACCGCCCTCACCTCACCGACACTAGCTCGGGAGAGCATTGGTTTTGTAATCCCGTACGAGTCGTGCAGAGTGACACGCGGCAACCCTTGCACCTCACTGGATCACCTGTTTTCCCGCGTCGATATCCGCAATTCACAACCAGCGCCACGAAAGAAATGTCCCTTTTTGATTGACCGTTTGAATAGATTGTGGCGGCGGCGACAGTTTCTGGCACCTCATGCGGTGGACAAACTTCTATGACGGGCCCTTAGGATGTTCCTGGAATGATTGTGACCTTTCACGGCAATGCGGTTTGAAATGTCCTCCAGCATTCTTGTGCATCACACTGCTGAGGCTGCAGGGGGTGGGCAGGCAAATAACTCTGATGATAGCGAGACATTTTTTTTTTAAACAACCCCGCAGCCACTCGAGGCCCGGTCATGCCACTGCTGCGCTTTTGTTGTTGTTGTTCGGAAGAACCTGGAGCGAATAACTCGCGTTACAACGCTCACGGTGTTGCGTTGCCTCTAACCAACAAATCCATTATACTTGTGTATAACACGTGACATTTGTTGTCACTAATAATGCTATTATGCTTGCGTATAATATTCAATGTTGTATTGTCTCTAACCAATACATCTATTATACTCGTGTATAATGCTTGTATTGCCGAGTTAAATGATAATAGACATACTCTTTGGTTCTTTCGGTAAAGTCACGTAGGTAGAATAAATAATAGATCACGAAGTTTCGATCGCAACAACAACAAGCGACCGTCTTCAGGTGATGAAAGACGTACAGAATTTGTTTTTTTTAAGTCTCAGACCCTCGTGTCAAAACAACCGTGGGAGCGTACATGAAATAGGCACGACAGGGATCGACCTGTGTGTGCTGCTGCTGCTGCTGTGAAGGGGGCAAGGTGCATTTTGTTGCACCTCGCCATCACGCCACCACGTCGTCTGTTCAACCCTCGCGATCACATGCGACCGGGTGATCGATCTGATGCGTGGGAAGAAGAAGAATTCGGTGTCGATTATGGTGAGGAGAGCAAAGGCACCGTTGACCGATGCTTTTAAGTTCATGAAAAAAAAAACGTCGTGTCGCGATCTTCTTTAATTTCTCAATGATCCTCATTGGTAGAACAATGAAAGAATTCACGTGAAAGTGTATCTTCACACGGTTTGCTGAGGGGAAACTCGGTAATATAATTTGTTTTACTAATTTACGAATAGGTAACAAACGTGGTAGAAGATACTTTTTTTTTTTACTATTGTCCCAAGATGTTAACGTACATTTCAAGTTACAAGACATTGATTGCTTAAATTATGTCGACAAAGCTGCGAATATATTAATGATATCGAGAAAAAGCTGAGGATTAACACGTCAGATTGTGATCTATTTAATTTGCAAGATGGTTTAATGTGATCAGAGGGAATAATACTTTACATTTTATTTCATAGACTGTATTGGCATTTTGAATAATCAATGCCAAAAATATATTTGCTTTTACTATACTCTAAAGTGTGAATGTGTTTCATAAATACACTTTTGTGAAATGTTTAGCTAGGTACAACTACACAATGACCACCTTGTATCACACGTGGGTCTACCTTTACATTTGTAAAAGTCATTAAGTTTAGATTTTATTTGAAATTTAAAGAGTATGCTTTTTCAGAAATTATGTACACGTCTGCCGTTTTAAACTGTCTATATTCCTTCAGTTTACACCGTGCTTAATTGGTCATCATCATCAGCCAGGGTCGATCCACTGCTAGATAAATACCTTCCAAGCTGCTGCCACCTCTCACGATCCTGCAATGTCTAACAATCAGAATATTATTTATATTTATCTACACCGGAGATTTGCAGGATCCACACCCCGGCACCTGCACGTTCGGCGCAATTTGTTCACAATTATTCAACGTCAGCGTTTACTTCACCAAACACCGTCCCCCCATTAGGAAATACGCCGACAGGTGAAATGCGTCTAAGGGGGGGGGGGGCTCTCGCCGGGGAGATGGAGCGGTGGTGGTGAAAGCAGCGCGAGGTGCTGGGTGCATCGTTTTTCATTGCTGGATCGAGGGGTCGCATCGTTGGCTTGAGGAGGCCTTCATCCAGCAATGGATATACCATGACTGCTGATGATGATGATGATGATTACAGTACTGTAAAAACACGTAGGAGGCTCACTGGTTTGCAAAGGAATGTATTTGTTTTGATATAAATGAAATCCAAGTGACACAAGGCTGCCCTTGTGCAGATGCAGCAAGTATAACAGGTTATTTATTTTACTCAAAAACCCTATGAACCACAGATTCCAGATCGCGTGTATCAAATACTGCACGCGCAGTCTGCAGTCAAACATTTGTTTGGTATTTGCATTAAAAGCATATTCATGTTTTTTTTCCACTTCAAAGCCAAACGGTTATGGTACCTTGCACATTGTGCTGTGCCTAACCAAAAGCCATAAACATGTAGCTTCAAACATGTCAACAGGGGCCATCTTAGGGTGTTTACTTGCAATGAGTACCATGAGGGTTAAGTTTGTAAGCTCTTATTATTGACACATGGCCTGAACCCTCCTGAACTCCTCTATTCTGAAGATATAAAATCACCACGACATTCTGTGACTGCGTGTTCAAAATGTCCGCCATCACTCCTCAACGAGTTTTGTAGAAGTACTTTACGTAGAAGTCTCTCTTCTACTCTACGGCCTCTACAAAACCCTCCGCCTCGAAGCTCCTCAGTCACCCGATCCTTCCAATGGCTTCCAATCCAATCCCACATCAACAACGAAGATCGCACTCCACCGTCTTCAAGATTCACCACGCCATCGCCTCGACCTTCCTGTTATCTCGTTTTACACCTCTCGCTCTGTGCTCTAGCAACCGATGCTTTCTGTTGAAGCCCCAGTCAGCATTTGCTCAGTGGGAGGTTTCTCTCCATGTTTCTTCTTCTGCTGCTGCTGCTACTGCTGAAGTCTGGGTTTCTCTCCTAGTGGTCTTTCCTGCTCGACTCTCTGCCCTGCTCAGTTCCTGACTCGAAATCCTCCTCGTCACCACCACCACCGCCGCCACCGCCGCCACGGAATGAAAAAGGTACATAACGCCCCACGTTTTAGCTTTGTTGAGTGCCCCTTCACAAAAGGATAATCTCAAAGGAGGTTAACGTTAACAGGTGACTACATCACAGAAAATAAAATCAAGCGGTGAGGATACAAACACTGTGATGAATGGAAATTAACAAGAAATCAAGCAATATCTATGGGAGATCCTTTTTTGCCAGTATTGAGATGATGATGATGAACAAAGAAGAGGCTTGACCTTTTTTCGGCAAAAATACAGGAGGTGTAAAATTGTTCAAACACCAAATAGACACCCATCACAAGGCATCAAGTCTGCATTAAGCACAGATGCCCACCATTGGCACACATGCTCGTGGTAACACATGCATGCAAACAAGAATGCATAGTGCTTAAAACTGATTTGCCTACACCAGAGATAGCGTTCCAATATGGCCTTGTCTAACCAGTGTCAGACCAAACGAAATCCAAAAAGCGAACATCACAATGGCAATGCAAATACCAAGTATGAAAAGCTCGGTTCGAGCTGTTATATCGATAGGACTTTTTTTGCCAGTATCATGTTTCACCACGAGCACATAGTACTTTGTGATAAGTATCTATTTGGGGTTTGAACATCTTAACACTTATATTGTTGCCAGAAAGGGTAGAGATCAAACAGACTTTAAAGCGAGTAAATCAAGTCATAATAACATACGTAGCAGTGTGAATGCTCTCCCAATGAACATGTTTTCAATCTTAATTTAAAAACAACAACGGAGGATGCCTCCCTTACAGGTCCTGGCCATTCGCCAAACAGTTTGGTCGATAACTGGAGTCCCGTAGAGCGTCTTCAAATGCGGATACGGTCAGAGATGGCATGCAAATCCACAATGTTTCATACGCTATAGTCCGCAGATTTGCAAGATGTAAGAAACACCCTGGATTCTCCAGCGTTACGCCGAAATACCACCAAGGTTATCCACAACTTCTCATTCCACCGCAGGGCAAATAAATAAATACAAATTGTGTAAATGTTATATTGCTGAATTGAATGCTGGCACTGATATATTTTTTAATTAAGCATTTTTAAATGGGTTCCTCTTAAGATACACGAAGGTTAGTGTTGAACATGTATTTCTTAGTTCTCGTTTTATTGCCTCATCTTCAATTGCAAAAGTCACCAGAAATGTTTATGAGCTCACATGTAGCTCAACCAGAAGACCCAATAGCCAATACACAGCTATTATGGATCATAAATATCACAAGTGTGCTACCACAAGGTCTGATGTTCATACGGTCACACAAAGCGGTGTGCAGAAAGTAGCAAATAATCACCACGACCTGTTAATATCACGATGAAACTAACCAGATGAAGCAACATCACATGTTCTGGAACTGAACGTATGAGTTAATGTCAAGGCACCGCTGGATGATGGCCTCCCCACTTCACCCGACCGGTCACTTCGAGTTGTTAAGGTGGGGGCAGCGGGGGAGGGGGGGGTTGCCCAGAACCAGTTCAGATTCTACTTCACACAGATGTTGTCCATGGCCGGGGAATCTCACCAAGGACGTTTATGTTCACAGCGCAAGAGAGCAAACTATTGCGACACCGCCCCACCTGTTTTGTGGCCTTGCGTGCACTTATCTGTTCCCAAGAAAGCCTCAAAAAGAGTCTTAAGGCCCCTTTTAAGCTTAGTCCTTTAACATTTTGGTGATGAGGTTAGACTTGAATATTTGTTTTGCTTGCCAGAGAGTGAGAGAACCTGAGTCACCAGAAAAAAAACAGAAAAAAAACGCTCCAGCTGAGAGATTAAGACTCCACAGCGGAGGGCTCGTGAACCAACTTGCCATACCGCCTTTTTGTTTCTTGACAATGGGCCCACCATTTCCGACAATGCTCCCTTTTTTCTCCGAGCGGAAAGCAAAGGAGGGTAGCTTCGGAGTTTGTGTGACCCGGCGCAACTTCTCGAAATCCAAGCCGCCGAGTAATCCAAAACTTGAGAGGAAGGTGGAAAGGTGGCAATGTGGAAGTAAACATAAAAGGGGGGGGGGGAAGTCGTGAAGACAAAGTAAAAAAAAACACGGACGAGAAAATTTCCTTACGCTAAAAAAAAGTTGCCAGCGACAGGGGCCGCGGTTTCCTGCAGTTAATCCCATTGCATCGGTCGACCGTACAGCCCTACACCGCACGCATGTAGCAACTTCCAGAGATGCGCATGTCAACAGAAGAGCGTTGCTAACGCCCGATCCACAACCGACCGCTGTGATAAACGAACAATTTACAAGCGGTTGGGCAACAGCGGTTCTAAAGCCGTATAACTATACGAGGTGCTCCACCCACAATTGCAACAATGTGAGACCTCAAATCCTAATTATGACTCTCAGGCGCTCGGGCGAGCTGACTATCGATCGTCCCACGGGTACACGGAACCCGGCCCTGGTCGCGTAAAGACTTTTCTTCCTCCGCTTCCTCGGCGTCTCGAGTGGAGGTCGGCGCAAAATGTGAATTCCGAAAAATCCTCCTCCCTCCACCAAATACTGTAATAACAATAATATGCAAAATACCCGAGCACATACTACAATAATGATTCGTCAAGCAAACTGCCAGATGAAGACCTTCTCACGCCACGTTGGCAATGCAGGTTGCTGGACCATACTTCACCACGCCGGTCATTGTGATTAGAAACGCACTGCGATTATAGTCTTGGATGAGGACCCAAGACCAATTAGAGATAATGCTCGCCACACCCACTGGTGTTTAACCCTGGTCGGAAATGAAATTCAGGTTTCCGGGCTTATAGCGCAGTGCATGAACAACTGCACTACTGCTCTGCCCCCCCCCTCCCCCCCCCCCATAGACCATAATATATATACCATAATATATATATACATATACCATAATACACATACCGTAATACACATACCGTAATACACATACCATAATATATATACCCTACCATAATACACATACCGTAATACACCTTCCGTAATACACATACCGTAATACATATACCGTACAACGTGCATTATATGTAGCTGGCACCAGCCCATCCCAGCCCCTGTTGGCTGTGCTGTGCCTACGAGTTGTCACAGTGACCAAAGCCGCTGCTGCCACCACACTTCACCATCTGCCTGATCCCGCAGCTGCCGCACTATGGCCACACAGACCGGCACGGTCTGTGTGTCTCGACCATAATCACAGCGCGATTCTAATCCCGCACCTCCGATCGGTTGTTTACGCACGAAGTTCAACGTACGTACGTATGCCCTGACAGTGTCGCACCATCTGATCCCAGGTCTCTCCCTCGAGCCCCAGAATTTGTGGAGGCCACTTCAATGGCTGCCTCGGCAACGGGCCCTCCCCTATCCTGCACGCGTGTCCCGACCCAGCGCAAACGTTGCCGCCCAAGCACATCGACAGCACTCGCCTACCACGTTCCCTGCCGGATGGCTGCAGTGCTTATCCCCTTGTCTTGGCAACAGAATTCTGAGCAGACGTCTGAGCTCAAATGCCAACAACGACCCACCCCAATAGGAGGCCCATTGGGGGCCCATTGAAGGCACCCGCGCGAAAAACAACATTTGGGAGCATCCCCACCCCGCCGCCCCTCTCCCACCTTTTAATTTACAAAATCCGAGTGAGATGAGAGGAAGAGATTTAGACAAGAGGTACAGACAGGAGATAGAGATGCAGTGCGATGAGAGCAAACATGGACAAACTCGTTGTGCAATTACCGAACAGAGATACAGGTGGGACAGAAATGTAGCGGAACGAGAGATATGGGGACAAGGCACAGACGTGGTGTGATGAGAGAAAGCGAGCTGCAGGCAAGAAAGCGAGATTATTCTTATTTTACAGTTAATTCGGTATATTTGCATTCATTAGGATCGTGAATTGGCACGGATATTCAGTATTCAGTGCATCTATTGCTTTCATGGATCCGGTTACTCCCCCCCCCCCCCCCCCAGGCGTCGCCAGCGACTGCTGATCTCACCTGAAGACGAAAGTGTGCTGGTCTATGAAGGCCCCGTAGCGCAGGTCTTTCACGTTGCCCGAGTTGCCCACGACGGCGCAGCGCAAGCAGCTCTTGGAGGACGGGCGCGGGAAGCCGGCGTTGGGCGGCAGCAGCGACAGCAAGGTGGTCACCAGGGCCTGCAACTTCTCCGGGGTGTTGCGGTCCGACTGCATCGTCTGTCGAAGAAAGCCGAGCGCCGGTTGGTCAGGGCCACGGAGTGTCGCTCACAGCGAGTCGTGCTGGCTCACACGGGCAGAGCCAGCGGTGCTAATCCGGGACGTGGCCGCTTCGCGCTTGGAGTCGGGGATGCCCGACTAGCGAATTGTTCCTGGCGGCTACTGGCTCGATTACAGACAGGATCCGCAAAGTTTTCCCGCTGCCCCCCCCCTTGCCCCCCCACCACTTTGGAGTTATACCGTACAATAATATTATAATTTATGCAACTACTGACTATAAAAACCACTAATCTATTTTTTTATTTTACCAACAGGTAAGGCCCATTGAGCTTTACAGTTCATTTTCAAAAGCCAACTGGCCACAAATAATATCTCAACGAAGTGGCTTATCGCATGGAAATTTACACCAGCAGCCAAACAGTCTAAAGAGTTAGCGCTGAGCCTATTGACGAGCGTGCGCTATTGCGGGTTCTCGTGTTCTATCGTCGGCAGAATCAGCATTTACTTCGCCCCGTAAAAGGGAAGAAAGCAAAGCTCGTGGATTCGAAAAATGCGATAATTTGCGTCCAAAGTGTCGTGGGCGTCCCTCTCAGCTAGATCTGAAAATATTTTGGGGGGGTGGGGGGGGAAGCACCGGACCCCCCCACCCCTGCGACACCAACAGCGTCGAGGTGACACATTGTTGTGACACGTCGCCCCCGCCAGCGGTGCCACACGAGGTGACGCTTCGGAGCCACAGCAACGGTGAAAGCGTTGCGCAGTATTGCAAGCGGATCAGACGCTAATGGTAAACGTAGTTAAAGGCTTTTGCCTGAACCACGTCGGGTCATTCGAGACGACGGGCTCAACCGCGTGTGTGCTGGTGGAAGCGGGGGGGGAGGCAGTGTCTGCGAAATGCTGGGCAGGAAAGGTCAACATTGCTGAAATGAGTTGTGCGATATTCCTCGTTGTCTGCAAAGTTTGACGTTTATCATCACTCGTCCCCGTTGGTGCTGTGCTCATGCAGCCTCACGGATCTCCCGTGTAAAGTCGCCGGGCAACTGGCAAAATGGGATCATCCGTGGAGCGAATGAAATGCTGTGCCGTGAACTCAATGGTCTGTCGATCTGCGTGTATACAAGGCGGGGGGGGGGGGGGGAATGTAATCGTGGTTTCCACTTACAAGTGAATGAAACCAAGATCAGTTACTTTTGAAAAGGATGCTAAATTATGTACTTACAACGTATTAGTGACAATTTCGGAGGGGGGGGGGGGGTAAAACCTATTGGACAAGAAGAACGAAAAAGTCAACAATTGTGAAGACTCAAAATGAAACTGAAATATTCTACAGGTAAAGACAAAATATACGGACTTGCTCCTAAGATACAAGAAGTCAAAAGTGAAAATACGAATGGATCGATTTATACGGCAACAAAGCATCCGTGTAAAGTGTTGGCACAGCGAGTAGCGCGCTGCCACGCGAGACCGATGATCCGAGTTCGACTCTGGGTCATCAGGGGCGTGTGACATCCGAGCAAGTCAACTCACGCTAAGCGGCGCGATCAGGTGTGCGTCCGATTTTACCTGTCATGTGTGGCAACATTTATGGTCAACGAAAGCCTTCCCTCGCAAAAGAAACAGCCTCAATTGTCCTCACGTCTGCCGAACGCACCTGTCCGTAATACGATCACTGTTATAGTTTTGGTCGCGATGGTCGGTTGCGAGCGCACGTGGCATGCGCGTGTGACGTGCGCGTGTCTGTAACGCGTGTGTCGCTAGCGCCGGGTGGGTAAATTGTCAAGGCAGGCAAGGACAACGATGCCAAACCGCAAAAAGCGACCACTGCAAGTCTGCACACAAAAAAAACGTCGCCTGTGGACAGCCAGGGAGGGTGTGCTGAAACGCCCTTTGGAGACGTCCGTTTGCTTTGGAAAGAAAAACACAAACCACAGTTTATAAAAAACAAAAGAAAGAACTAATTTTAATGAATTAAAAAGCAGCCCGTTTACTTTAACTGCGTATGCAGTTAAGTGTCTACGTGGTTTTGCAATGTGTCTTAAATCATCGCATATGCCGTGGATTAAAGCGTACTACTCACGCAATGCAGTGGGCCACGTTTACAGGAGCTTACGTGGTTGTTCTATTGATAATAATACATCATTTAAAAAATAAAAACGTTAATTTCATGAGGATTGATATTTGCACTCGGTCATGCACGGTATTATGTGACAACCCTCTCCAAGCGTTTGTGAATGTTTTCATTGTAGAGTAATAAGAGCATATTGTAAGGTTGTTTATTATTACACGCTATACATAGCAGTGCGATACTTTATAATAACAGGACCTTATAATACTTTATAATAGAACCTGATAATACTTTATAATAGCACCTCCGATTAGCACGGTTGCCGACGGTTGGCTATGTACGCTGCGAAAGAAGTTCAACATACATACAATATCTCATATTAAGTCATAAAAACACATTTTATACCACACTGTATTATTATCATGCGGTTGGAATTTTACTCATAATATAATATTTTAAAAAGCTGAATCCCCTTAAAGATTGTCAGCCGTGCAATTTCATGAACCCCCATTGCACGCATCGCAAGTGGAGGGGACTTGTTATCCTCGAAAGTGTTGCACAAAGTGCATCTCGGACAGCCCGCGAGGCTGCGATGTAACGATAAGATTCGCAACCCATCGAGGTGTTTTCCACCTGCCTCTGACAAAGCAAAAACCCGGCACAGTAAGAACTGGTCACCATGCAAATCGCACATCCCCCCCCCCCCCCCCCCCTTAGTCTGCATTTGCATCGTCTAACGGACGTTAAAAGATAAACATCTCGCACAGGACCCGACCGTCGAACCTCCCCGGTTTCAACATTCCACGCTGCCAATGGTCGACCATCAACCGAATCGGGACCGGGCCACGTGGCCGAGGGGTGAGGGCAACTGCTGAGGACCGATTGAGATATCATTCGGCACTGATATTTGCCGTGGCCAGAAATCAAGCCCATGTCACCCAGTTCAATAGTTGAATGCAATATCCAATGGGCCACCGCTCCACCCCCTAAGTATTATTATCCGCAAGCATTATAATAATAACACATTTATAACGTGCAGAGACACATACAAAAATGTAACTTCAAAATGCAAGTGGCAATTCAAGGAGAAACGGAAGAATATATAAAACAAAATCGCCAGCTGTCCTCGGTTACAATTTATCAAACGAACAAGTAACGACAGGCGAGGGGCGAACGTCTGAAAGCTGAGACGCAAACAGGTTACCTTGAACCACTTGAGGGTGTCGTTGGAGAGGGTGGCCGTCTGGTTGGTGAGGAAGGGCCTCACGGTGTCGTTGAAGTGGCTCTTGAACCAGGCGCTGTTGTTGCGCTTGGGGATGGGCCGGCACGCGAGTGACATGCTGTAGGTGTCCCGCCGCACGTGGGGCCTCTCCGTCGTCACCGCCGCTCTCTGACTCCTCACCGCCTCGCTGATCGTCAGCGAGAAGTTCGTGTACAGGCGCTGCATGTGCTCCACGTTCCGCTGCAAGGAGCTCCACGCCTCCCGCTGCTGCTCCGCGTCCCTCTTCTCCTGGACGAGCTTCTCCGGGGACTCCGTCGCCGCCGCCGCCGCCGCCCGCGCGGCCGCTTTGCTCGCCTCCAGCAGCTCCCGCACGTCCTCCAGGATGGCCCTGACGATGCCCTCGTTGCGCGCGCTCGATCCGTTGGCGCTGCCGTGCAGGTCGTGCAGGGAGCTCCTCAGGAGGCCCAGCTCCTGCAGGAGAGTCCCGAACGCCTCGGCGGCCGTGTGGTTCTGAGCGCCCAGCACCGCGGCCACGATGCGCTCCTCGCTGCGCCGGCGAGCCAAGTCGGGGGCCACGGTGCTGGTGCAGCGGCACAGCGGGCACACCTCGTGCCTCTCGGTGCGCAGGAACATGGCCATGATGCAGACATAGAGGACGACCGACACGCCGACATTTATCATCAGGAATTTGCAGGTCCTCATGCCCGGAGAGCAATGTGCGCTCCCGAAGGGCGTGACTGCGTCTCGTGTCATCTCCGTCCGTGGATTATAATGGTCCTGAGAGGTGGGCGGACGTGGTGGTGGTGGAGGAGGGTCTGTGTGCTTCTTTCACGGGCCAACGGGATAGTGTCCCCCCCTCCTTCCACCTACAACCCTGCAAGAGACGGGCGAGCAAGTGTGGGCGCAGTGAATCAACAGACGACGCTTATTTGAATCTCACCCCCCCCCACCCTCCCAAGCCGTCCCCTTTCGGTACCGTGAATGGTAACAAATCCTCTCTAGAGCCGTTTGTGCAAACTTGCCCTTATTGCTGTAGGGTAGAAAAACAACGGCTTTGTTGGTCTCTGTGCGTCTTACGAGGTCAAATGTATCCTTTTGACATTTTATCGCATGCACGTCGTTGTGCCTTCTCATAAAAAAAAATACGAGACACACAAGAGTACTCACCCCCCCGCCCACTCTTGTTAAGACCTACAAAATATCCGTTTAGTTCGATTGGTCAACACCGGTTACATTCCACTGCCTTTAAAAACAAAAAAAACGCTCTCACGTCAGACACAAAATGCCAAGCTCCACCCTTGTTAAAGAGAAGAAATTCCATGCAACGTTTTTTTCTTCAACTTCACCACCAAAGCACACCGTCCCACCACCGCAATCCAGGTATCCGCACCCATCACCCAACCCCACCTGCCTCCATCCACGCACCAATCACCGTGGGCTTTGCCCACGCCCAAATCCTATCGTGCCATCCAATGTCTTACTTTGGCTTCTCCTTCACCCATCTCTCATGCCAACGACAAGTTGCACGTCGCCTCCACACCCTGCCCTAATCCCAGAGGAGGGGGGGGGGGAGCTATAAGTACGTATGATTGCAACGCAGATTTGATAGATTGTAATCATGTCAGCAGCAAGCAGCAAGGGCCCAATCAGCTCCTGCTCGGCCCTTATTTTAATGGGTTGTCCTGCGACGTCCCAGACGTTGTACGGCACACATCGTTGTGAACACAAGCCTGGCTTCACAAGTATCGTCGGATACACGCTTCGCATGTTACAGGAATAGGGAGCTGGTCGAAAGACAAAGATCCCCCACATAGCCTTGTGGGCCAAGTGCTGTTAGCCAGCACCTATAAAGGCTGGAACAGCACACGAGGGGGTGGGTGGCCAGCACCACGCCCGGCCACCTTTGTCTTCCCAGTACCAGGTGCCCATTTAAGGCTGAGTCGACCTAGTGGAGGCCCAGAACCGGTACAGATAATCGTCACTGGTGGTGGCCGTGAGCGGGAATCGAACTCGGCTCGCCGGATTCGTAGCTCAGCAGCGTGGCGCTAACCGCTATGCTGCCGCTCCCCACAATACCGCTGGTCGAAAACACACACTGCAACACACGCACACACCCTGGCACACACACACAGAGACATGACAACATTATGTTTGACTAAAGAAGAAATAAAGGAACGCAAACAAATGGCATTGAACAAAGTGACGTGTGCGAGAGGGGGGGGTCAACGTTTTGTTTTCAAGTGTCCACACCAAAAGGGTATCCACACCAAAAAAGTCGACTCAAATCCCTTGACGCTTTGCGTACTAACAGATGGCTTGCTTCCTCTATTTCGGCCAGATCTGACAACAGCTGGCAGCGTCAACGCCTGACCTTCGACGTTCGCTCTCAGGATTTCACTCGAGATTGTGGGACGGGGGGGGGGGGTGCAATTTTGAACGAGGCTGCGAACGTGGGCTGCCACCCCGCACATCGGGATTAGCACTGTTGGCTATGTACGGTGCAAAAGAAGTTCAACGTATCTTCTTGGTTCTTTCGGTAAAGTCACGTAGAATGGAAATAATAAAATAATAAATATTCAACATAATAAAATTATTCTCACGACGTTTCGGCCACAACGCAAGCAGCCGTCCTCAGTTGTGGCCGAAACGTCGTGAGAATTATTTTATTATGTTTTATTTTATTCTTTTATTATTTCCATTCTACGTGACTTTACCGAAAGAACCAAGAAGATGAATCCCTGCAGTCACAAAAGCTTTAAATCGAAATTTAAGTTCAACGTACATTAAAAGGCTCATCATTCCTAATGCCACCGCTAATCTATGTTTGATCGTAATTGTCGTATTACTTTCCCTTGCGTAAACACGCCTGCGACACATAGAAACTGCAGCGCACGCGGTTTGTCCAGCACGTGATGTTTGTAGCCACGTGACACGTCCACGTAACCTGAATGATTGTGAGTCTTCGTGAGCGGCGAGCAAGCCCCCTAAGAAGGGCGTCAAGAACTCTTGCGACATTCTCTCCAGAGTCTTCGGTGCAACATTCCGGACTCCGCAATACCGCCAGACAAAATGCGACGACTGTCAGAGTAGTTCCGTCCATCTTCGTGAACTCTCATTTGTCAATTAGAACGTGTGTGGTCCATAACGATGGCAGGTGGAGTTCTAATCCAGCTTTTTTTTTTAAAGAATCTTATTCAGTCGCCGTGACCTGCAGCTATTTCGATTGTTTGGTTTGTTGTCCTTAGCCCTGCACCTCTCCAGAGCCTTCGGGGCAACATTCCGGACTCCACAATACCGCCAGACAAAGTTGCGACGACTCACGCGGCACGCACACAACACACACGGCAGACACGTGGTGCTGCACCCTGGGATCGTGGTCACGGCTTGCACGTCTGTCCCTAATCCAGCCGCAGTGGGGGGGGGGGGGGGGGGGTAACATGAATTGATTTATAAATTATCATTCATGAGAATCATAGGCGAATGATCACGTGTGAATCTGGCGATATGAAATAACCGCGATACAATTTAAATCCGTATGGTAACCTTGAACAGTGTGAAAGATATTTTTTTTATTCATTGAGCATACACACTGTGGGTTTCCAAGAGTAACCAGCTCGTGCGAGCAAATTACGTCACGCATGCTGAGAGTCTGTTGAAATTTAGTTTTATTCGCTTACAGTTACGACCTAGTTAGGATGTCTCACAAAAATGTTACTTGTCAGAAGCACGTTGGGTCAGGCAAGGGGACTGCTCGGTCGAAACAAAATTCCACAACGGGTAGGAGTTCTAGATTTAATGCTTTCGTGACTGCAAGGATTCATACTCTTAGTTCTTTCGGTAAAGTCACGTAGGTAAAAAATGAAATTAAAAGTAATAAAAATAAAATAATAAAATCACGACGTTTCGGAGGCAACACAAGTCTCCGTCATCAGGTGGGACCGTCACAGCCAGATTTGCTGCATCAAGTGACCCTAACCCTAAGCCTATGCAGCAAATCTGGCTGTGACGGTCCCACCTGATGACGGAGACTTGTGTTGCCTCCGAAACGTCGTGATGTTATTATTTTATTTTTTATTAATTTCAATTTCATTTTTTACGTACGTGACTTTACCGAAAGAACTAAGAGTATGAACGGGTAGGAGGATGGGGGGGGGGGGCAGTTAGCAGCCAAACAAAATGCTGAGAGCCACTGCTAGGCGAGGCTGGTGGATCGTGCGAAGATCCATCTGCCTGCGAACTTGTCAGACGGATTTGGTTTTCTTGGGGGAGGTAAAAAGCCGAACGACTCAACTGAATCCACTGTTGCACGGCAGCCGCCCCATCTACCAGCAGCCCGAAGTTTGCCCGCAGGAGGCAGTGGGGTGAGAAGGACGCTCCAATTTATCTGCGGAGTTCTGGGGCGCTCTGTGCCTCGGCCATGTGGCTTTCTCCCTCCTCACTCGCGTCAAACTTCCCCTCGGTATAGAATGTTGCCTTGCCGGATATAAGAGTTGAGAGGCGCAAGCACTGCAATTGCCTGCTTACGCCCCTGCTGGTAGAAGGGCCTCCACGAGGGGGCAATTCAAGACCCCTGTTGATTTCCCTGCTCCTCCACGCTGGCCGGACGTCTTGGATTACAAAGACAAAGGTCCCCCGTATAGCTTTGACAGACTGTAGGGGCAAGTGCTGTTAACGAGCACCTATGAAGGCCGGCACTGCACACGAGGGGGTGGGTGGCCAACACCACGCCCGGCCGCCTTTGTCTCCCCAGTGGCGATGTTTACGCACCGCAAACAGGTACTCATTTGAGGCCGAGTCGACCTAGGGGAGGCCCAGGACCGGTTCAGATATTCGGAAGTGAAATTGGGTCTCCAGGTTCGTAGCGCAGCATGCTAACCACAGCACTGCCGCTCCTGGTTGTGTAACAGCACACTCCAAGTGTCACGCCGCTGTTGCTTCACAGTAACCACCACAACGTTCACCTTACCACAAGTGCCTTGAACTCTTCGCACTTTTATTGAGCTTCTAAGCTCAATAAACGAAACATCACGAGAGTGAAAATCACATTCCTACATTATCATGAACACACCCTTTTCTAATCCGTGCCAGTGGGAACCAGACTCCAAATATTGAAACTATGCCATTATGTCCCGAATTGCGTTAAGACTGTATGCCTCCTACACACAAGCACTAAACCTGTCACGTAAATATATAGAATCCAAACACTAAAGTTGGGCCCAGACTGAACACAACTGCACTTGCTCTCTCTGACACTCTCGGTCAAACTTGACTGATAGTCATAAAAGGCTTCGCTATTTGTTTTTCTCTGGGATGTATGTTGTTTCCTCTGATTCATGCTGCCCGTTTCACCAGTGTGTAGTTAGCCCAATTTATGGGCTCAATGCTATGTGTGGGTGTTGGCATGCAGCAATTCACACCCCAGTGACGTATGTAGGTGTGTATGTAGGTGTGTATGTAGGTGTATGTAGGTGTGTATGTAGGTGTGTATGTAGGTGTGTATGTAGGTGTGTATGTAGGTGTGTATGTATGTACGTGTGTATGTAGGTGTGTATGTACGTGTGTATGTAGGTGTGTATGTAGGTGTGTATGTACGTGTGTATGTAGGTGTGTATGTAGGTGTGTATGCAGGTGTGTATGTTGAACTTCTTTCGTAGCCAACTGTGTTAATTGTAGGTGCGGGGGAAGGACAACAAACTAAACACAAAAAGCAGTTCTTAAGAAAAGAGTTTTCAATCTAGATTTAAAAGTGCAAAGCTCCAGGTGGCTTCCTAATATCGGAAGAACGTTCCAGACGGACGCAGAAGCGCATCTAAAAGCGCACGATACATTGACCGCCTTTGTTTGACGGTGAGCCAAAAGCTGCTTCGAGGATGA